ATATATATATATATAAAGAGAGGGGGATGGAGGGTGGGGGGTGGGGGTGGGGTTCATCACGTGCAGAAACATTATAAAATAGGTCAAATATTTAGTTGGCGCCTGATGACCATAATTGCTATGTATCTGGTCAATTTTATATACACTTTTTAAAAATAATGATATTTAAATTTAATATATTACTTCTTGGTTCAAAATAATAATCGTGTTTAACAAAATAAAATGTATGTTCAAAATAATTGATAATATTTGAAATAACATCAAATGTCTTTTTCAAAGGGATGTGCAAATATTATAACGCGGACCAGAGATAGGGACACGGGTGTAACTTTGAAATATCAAATTCATTGAACCCAGTTTTTCAAAACCAAAATATATATATATATATATACTAAAACTATTATAGGTCAATCTGTTATCAATAACTTATTTTGATAATATTAATATTATTACATATAACATATTAGTATAATGAATTTGATATCAAAAAGCTTTAAAAGTTGAACTTACGTATATTAGTTTAGATCCACTTTTGACTTGAGGTAGTATCATTTATATAACGACCTCCCTCGTCATAATTGGTAAAGTACTGATAGTAAATGAAAATAAGTGAGAAAACTTTTGAAGTAGTAAACTTAAAATTTCAAGTCAGGCTAGACTCAAACAAAATTTGAGTGAGGTAAGGTCTTGGGCAATCTGGGGAAATAATTGGAGTGAAACGCTTGGTAAAGTCTCATTTCCTTATTGCTAATAAGACGTTAAGGAATTTGTATGACATTTCGAAAGTAAATTTGGGTGAATAGAAACGAGCTTGGCGCGAGGAGGTTGGTTAGAACGTCAATGTTTCTATCCCCTGCAAGCCGCTATAGCAGTGAAATTAATTCCCGCAATAGGAGGTTAATCGCAGTTAATGCAAAAAAATTCAAAATTGCTCATTATTCGGGAATTGTGTTTTGAAAAGAGGCAAGAGCGACCTAGGGCAGCTTTCATCTATTTTCCATCATTATCATTAGTAAAGGTAAGTAAATTACTTCCCTAACTTAGTAATTCGATAGTTGAGCCTTAAAAACTGGGTCGGTGATCCTAGGGGAGGGTTTTATTTAATGTAATAGTGAAAAATCATGATTTCGATGGAATAATCCTGAGAATGGCATGAGATTTGGAATTATGATATAATTTGGATGTATTTATGTTATTTGGATATTGATTATGTGTTACATCGATTGTTCATAGACTAAGAACAAACTAGGTATCATAAAAAGGGGAAAATTCAAGTTCTATAGAGTATTTCAGGGTTGATCTGAGGTAGGTGCTAATTATTTATTTTTTAAATATGTTATATGTGTTTGCCAGATGTTTTATAAGTACGTAAAATGTATGGCCAGGGAATATAAAGAGTATAAACTAAAATGTTAGCTTGTATCAATACCACGAAATGAATGTGTAAGCTTCTATGTACAAGTGTGACTTAAAGCATTATATGTTGGGTTTTATTTGCCCTAAATTTCTTACCATAAATAGGTTTTCCTTTTAGGAAAAGGTTTTGGATTGACTAATCCTTTTTCTGGTAGGGAAAAGTTTAGGACTCTATAAATAGAGGCATGTTCCTTCTAACTTAATCAGCATTCACAATGTAGTCTTAAGGGCTTTGAGAGTTTTGGTTAGGGGGAGAATTTATGGGTCACAA